TAGGCTGGGGGCCACAGCAGAAAAGGCCCTCTGCCTAGATCCCACCAGTCAAAATTCCTTGACTGGCGAGGTCTGCAACATTCTGCTGGACCGAGTGGGGCGGGCTGAAATAATATGATGAGCATTTCTTCTGTGGCCCTCCCGCAAAGGACAAGCAAGTCACTCATCCGCTGCTCCTAGTCTATGTTAATTATTGATTGCATCTCTCCTCCTTACACTAACATTCTTCCTTTTTTTCTTGTTTTTCTTTGGCTGGGAGACTGCCTGATTCAGTTGGAATCTTAATTATGTCTATAACCGAGGACAAAAATTAGGAATTTACTCCTTCCTAAATTCTTTCCCTTTGTCAGCATCTGTCTGACTCTGTTGTAAACTGCATCTGCCACATTCAGTATTGCAGAGATAGGCAATCTGTGGCTTTCCATATGTTGCCGACCCGCGACTCCCACCACTCCTGACTCTTGGTCATGCTTCTTAGAAATGCTGGGAGTTGTAGTTCAGCAAGAGTTGGACTGCCGCAGGTTGGTTACTGTTGCAGTAATGGGTTGTTTACACAGTTTTTGACACTGGATGAGTTCACAAATTGTTCTAAAGCTTAGTTTATTTAGCTAAGCTTTTTTGAATAAGTCACCATTGGTTGGGTTTGCCAAAATCATAATTCATGGCTTACAAATGGTGGAGTTCATACCACATACTAAGCTATAGTAAAACAAACCACATCAGGACCATTGTGTTACGTGAAATAGGCAGCTTTCTACGGTTTATTTGATAAAAGAAGGGAGAGAAGATCTAGATTCATACTCTGCTTCTAAACAGGTGATTGTTGCTGGGTTACTACTAGCTTCTTATTTGGAATTGCACATCTATTTGACATTCCAGTGCAGTTGATACAGAAATGGCAATTATGCATTCTGCTTGATTTTCCACATAGGCTTCCCAGTCCAGTAAATATGGATGTGGAGGAATCTGTTTCTGTATTTGCATTTCTGGATTTCCAGATATGTGCATTTGCAATTCACTGAGAAATTGTTTGCATAGCACAGCTGTATCTTCATGCTTTAGATAAGTGAGGACAATTAATAGGAATTAGAGTTCTTGGTACTTCTTTGCAACTTTGGAATATCTTTGCCCTAGAAGTCTTCCAAAGCCTGAATTTTATCCATATTGACAAGTAGTCAGCAGTAGTATGAGAAATTAGTTTCATTTATCCTAATTTTTCTGGCATAAATTTATGGCAAGATCACATGCTTTAACTCTTTATACTGTACTCTGAAAATTTAGGATACTGTACATGGAAAATATTTTTTTCCTCAGATATGTGAAAAATATTTACATTAGTATGCTTATTTGATGGTTACTAGATTTGCCTTTGCTTGCAAAATCAAATTCATGTCTAATTTACATATGAATTAAGTACATAAAATAATAATAAAATAGTGTTTTACTAGTATTATTTTCTTAATAATAGTAGAATAGGAATAAAAATTTCATAGATAAGAAATCTCTGAGCTGAACTAGCTTAAAATTACAGTATGTTATCTGTTCGGGATAGTCAAAGCAGAACATTTGGAAGTTGTATAGTAGCCATTGGAAAGCTTTCGATATATTGATACAACTCCCAGAATTCCTAGTCAATGTGGTTTAGGGGTATTCTGCTGGAATCTGGCAGAATTTTCTCAGCATAGTACCTCTAGAGAGCATCATTGTATATGTCTGTTCACAGGGGTTAGGAAAATATATGTTCTTGATAAGTAGGACGATCTATTTGTGCAGCAAGAAAAACTGCATGTATGTTGTATATATTTATTTTATTTATTATTAAATTTGTATGCCGCCCATCTCCCCCCAATGAGTCACATCAGCCTCTCTGTTCATGAAACTCTCATTGCCTCTTCCCAAGTCGTATTCAGGAGAGCAAGCAGTGTCTAGTGTCCATTTTCCCAGGGTGAAGCAACGGTGCTCACAACATTGCTCCAGGAAAACTGGTGTTATGTCTGTTCTGCCCTTTTTCAAGTATTGGAGTGAGGGCTCTTGGATGAAAGGTTAAAATAAAGAATGGTTGGAAGGAAAAGAAATACTTCTTTCTTAATCCTTCCACCAGCTGCAAATATTCTTTGGGTATATGTAGGAGTGAATGAATGAGCTAGAAACAGATAAGGATAAAGTCTCCTTCAAATTGAGCTTGACTCCTGGTAGCATCACGGACACAGCTATGCGTTGACTTGGCAGCAAAAAGGAAGTGGTTTACCACTGCCTTCTTCCAGAAGGCAGGCGCTAACCAGGTCCACCCTGCTGAGCTTTTCAAGATCAGCTGAGGTGGGTTAGGTGATGCTGCAAAGGTCTCTCATAAACATTACTGATCTACTTCAAATTTTAGTTCTGGAGACTTCCTCATGACATGACTAAGAAACATCCTGTTTGTTACTGTTAATGAACACAGGCGATACAAAGAGCTCAAGGTCTAACAAGAGTTCTGGCAGAAGAGCCTATGAGATGCAGATGTGTTTAGTTATGAACTCTTTCCCTTTTGCTGGATAAGTTCCATCCACATTTTGGCCGTTTCATTTGCAAAATTCTTGCAGGAAGTTCATGGGTAATGAACTCCCCATAGGAAATCCAACTGTACTAAGTTCCTTTTGGTGATATCATCACTTGGTTTTCTACCCTTATTTGTACATTTTGTTTATCAAAGACTAATCTGTTTATTGTAAACAAAGAGGTTTCCTTAGCACCTGACAAAGTAGGAGAGGGGTGGGTAAGAGAATAAATGTTAGTAATATCCAGTAAAATATTGAAAAAAGTATATTTATACATGTGGCGTTATGCTTTGAATATCTTGTGTAAACTGTTGCTATATCATTAGATGTTTCTGTAGATGGAAGAAGAAGAAAGAAATGCTGTTTATTCAGTCAATGACCAGCCAAATTTGAAAAAACACAACACCAAAATGAAATGAAATGAAATAGATGTGGTAAAATACTAGCGTAACAAAGATAAAATAACAAATAAAAATGTAACATATGCTACTATAATGGTGCATTGATTTCCTGTGCAAGTGTAAATAAAAAATATTACAATCTATGAAGTAAATGTATATATCACCTAAAATGAGATAACTGGCATGTATTAAACTTGAAATGATAAATAAAATGGAAGTGGTTATTTCTTTGACCAGTGATGCCTTGTTTTCATCGCAGCAACCCAGAATTTGACTACTGCCCAAGTGATAAAGGGTTTTGAATCTTCTAGAAGATGGTGCACATAGAAATTGTATGGCCTTCCTGGAAATTTACATATTAGGGGCAGAATATATGACCTGATATCCCTGTAGAATTTACAATGTAATAATACATGCAAAATAGTTTGTTTCCTCTGTGGATGGAAGCAAACCATGCTCTGTTCTTCAGGAAAACAAAACAAGTCAATATGGTTTGGGGGACATGCTCCCAGAATGCAAATGGCATATAGTTTTTTAGCAATGCAATTTATTCTGCTTTGAGATAGTTTTCCCCTCCCCAGTGAAGTCTTCCTTTGCCCCACATTGGGCAGAATGGGCATGCTCCAGGTCCTATCAGTGAAGCAGTGTCCCTTGGTGGGACCTTAGAAGGTATCTTCTCTGTCATGTCTTGTTGAATAGCCTCCCCTCAGTGATATGGATAACCCCAGCCCTGCTGGCGGTGAAACCTGGCTATTCCCCCAGGCACTGGAGTCAGGATGCTAATGGAGCTATGATGTGGTATCTGTTATTAGTCAGATTTCTTAGGACACTTGATTTGCCAGTTTTTATGCTATGGATTGTGATTTTGTTTTGTTTTTGTCTGTGTACTGCCCTGAATACATTCGGCAGCCATATAAATGTGTTAAATAAACAAAAGAAACTAACTAATAGAATATTATTTTGGCCTTTCATTACTTTCAGTTCTATAAAATGTTGTAGGTCCTTGCGTAGAAATGAATGACTTCCTTGAAGGGACACTAAATCTCTGAGAATGTGAAAGTCAAAAGGATGGGGGGAGCAAAAAGGGGGAAAAAGAAGACAGTTCTGGAGAGGTCACTCACAGATGAGAATTCAGCTTCTGATCTAAATTGAAGGTTGTGTGTGATTTAGTTGTGTGTGAAAGGTGAGAAGGTGGAAATTGTCCTGAAACTTTCTTTTGCAGGGTTGTAGAAATGTCTATCCAACTAAGCAAGTTAAGGTGGAGGGGCTTGTGCTAGTATCTCAGAGCTACTTTTACAGATGATGATTATTTTACACAGCTTTACGTGTTCAGGAAAGCCATCAGTCTTGCCCAAACTGATATCCTGTCAGCATCTTTATAATTTGGCATGATGGAAGTTGTAGTTTAAGAGGGGGAATGGTGGGGGCCTGGTGGGGGAATTCAGGGCGACATCATCTTTTCTGTAATGTAACAGGTCAATTTGCATGGTTAATAAGCCAATGTAAAAAATTCTCCTTCTGGATTCATGTGTTGATGTAGTTTTGCATGGCTCTATATGTGGCAAATTTTCAAGTTTTTCTCCTGAATAGTATCATAAAGCACTTGTTAGTAACTTCCCTCAGCGGTAGCCCTTCATAAAACAAGACAAGGTAGGAAAAATGTATTGGAGTTCAAGATCACCACAAAGTTCCTGAATAAGACTGAGTTTCAATCTCTTCCTTTGTGTGTGTGCATGCCTTCGAGTCAGTGTTGACTCCTGGCGATTGCCTGGACAAGTCCCTGCAGTTTTCTTGGTGAGATTTCAGAAGTGGGTTGCCATTACCTTCTTCCTAGGGCTGAGACAGAATGACTGGCCCAAAGTCACCCAGCTGGCTTCGTGCCTAAGGCAGGACTAGAACTCACGGTCTCCCAGTTTCTAGCCTGGTGCTGGAACTGATACTGAGAGTAATAACCACAGGGTTAATGTGAAGTCATATGAGGTGAGGGGATCTTTCATGTCCAAAAGATTTTGCATAAGTATTTATAATTTCTGGGTTTCTTACATGTTTTCTTTTGCTTTAGGTAAATGAAATTTACCATGATGAATCACTGGGGGTCCACATAAACATTGTCCTTGTTAGAATGATCATGGTGGGATACAGACAGGTAAAATATACACCTTATGTCACTCTTGCCCACATATTTAATGTAAATCTTTGCTTATGATTTAGAGAGTAGAAGTAAATGTTTTTAAAGAAGTTTATAGTGGTGAAAGAACAGTGTTCTCTTTCTCCTTTTTCTTGCTCTTGTAACAGCTGTTTTTAAAGTGATGTAATACAAACATTTCGACTGCTATAAATAAATGGTACTTAACTGTCATCCTCTTAGCGAAAGGATGCCCAGAATTAAAAGAAAAGGGGAGGGTGGAAGGACACTGGCAAAGAACACAGCCTTAGCGGTTTGTGTCATTGCAGGCTACTTGAGGTAGAATCTACTCTTCTAAACACTGCCTAGAGTTTTGTTTTCTTTCTTTTCTTTTGAAAAAGACCTTCCAGTAGAAAGCATATTGGGAAAAGACTGAGCAAAAAAAAAAAAAGAATCTTAGTGTAGGTAAAAGCTCAAACATCTGTTCTTTGCGATTGAAGGACTTGATGGTGGCCAAACTTTCTGAAGCTTCTGTTTCATCTGACATATAGGCCAGCTTCAGTGTTTATTTTATTTATTTATTTATTCGATTTATTACCCACTTCAATCCCCAAGACTCTTGGTGGTCTATAGCTATAAAACATAGGAAATACCTATGTTAAAAAATGAAAATTACGTATTTATAGAGGCATAAAATCCAAAGACTATGGTTCATTCATCCCCCCCTAGGCGGGGTGTCTACAGGGAGGGTTAAAAAAAAAATCAAGGTGGGCCACAACCTTGCAGTCCACCATATGATTGCATGGTTGTGGCTGCCATATTGAATTTTTTTACTCTTGTGGACCTCCCTGCTCCTAGGCATTGTGCATAACCATAGATCTTCTGGAACAGTTCTGTTTTCAAATGTTGCCAAAAAGCCAAAAGTAGGGCTGGCTTCATTTTAAGTTGGAGGCAATTCTTAAATGTAGGTGCTGTGAGAGAGGAGGTCCATACATGGCATGTACCTAGTGGAAATGGGGGACTACCAGCACTCTATTCTGGGACAAACTAGTCAGGTGGGTTGATTTTGGTTGGGGGAGGCAACCCTGAAGATGCTTCAGGTCCATGCCATGCAGAGTTGCTGAATCCACCTTGTCTTCTCTTGCTTTCTTCAGTCCATCACTTTAATAGAACGAGGGAACCCATCTCGAAGCTTGGAGCAAGTATGTCGCTGGGCTCATTCTCAACAGCGTCCAGATTCTGCGCATGCCGAATACCATGATCATGCTGTATTCCTCACCAGGCAAGATTTTGGTCCCGCAGGTATGCAAGGTACTGTATTTACCTCAATCAGGTATGTGCAGTTTGGTGGACCCCACAGGAGAGGCCCCTTTTATTTGACCAAGGCCTTGTAGTAGTGAGTACGTCAAAGTTTTAAACTAAAAGTGGTGACTACATGCATTCATTCCTGTGGCTTTCTAGGCAGCAACATGGAACTGATTCATTATTGCCTTCTTCAAGAACTTTTTAAAATTTTATTTTCCGGTCTAATCCGTGGCTCTGATATTCCCTGGGTGTTTGCATTGGTGCCATGCAATGTATACATTGGTGGTTTCCCATCTGAATTCTAAAAGTTTTGCAAAAGACAATTAAATTGGGGTTTCAAGTTAAGAATAGTCTACCAACATCACTGTATTTTGTCTTCTTGTATAGTTTATATAATTGCAGTTTTCAGAAACAAAAAAAAAAGGGAAATCACCTCCTTATACTTGCATCACTTGCGACCAAAAGGAACCTGCCAGATCTGCTGTTTCTTTTGTATATCTAGTAATTGCCTTCTAACTCCTTGAGAAGCACCCTGATTTTTTCCCAATTCTAGACAGGTAGTAAAAACAAAGTTTTATAGAATCATAGAATTAAAGAATTAGAAGGAACTGCACGAAACAGCTAATCCAACTGTCGGCAATGTGCAAGAAATTTATACAGTGGCTACTGTTGGAGTAAATTTGGTTTGGTTTGTCACAGATTATGCCAGATTAAGTTCAGTAATTCCAAATAAGAAGCTGAAGTTGCATTCCTAACAGATCATTTAGGGAAAATGCATAAGAGAGAAAGAAATTCTATGCAAGCAAACTTGAGCTCCATTCAGTGGGTGCAAAGATACTGCCTAATGCACGGAGCTGCACCCCACTGTTTGCACCCCAACATTTGCACCTTTTCAGATTAGCCCTATTCCAGTTGCTTTTTTTTTCTAGACCAGTCAAGAAGAAAGCCCTCTTTTTAAACCATTGAGGCATTTGTTCTAGTTATCTCCACTTAAGTTGCTCTGAGACACTGAGAAAGAATAGAAGGTTCTTATTCTGTATTTGCAATTGTATGGCTAATGTTTTTTTATGGAGAAAAGTTTTTTGGCACAGCAAAGGAAGTGAAACCTGACCTAAAAAATGCATTCATGTTTGGCTGATGTTTTTGATGTAAGCAGAAGAGGTGAGGCATTTGAAAAGAATCCTTAGCATTTGTCTGTGTTGTTCCCTTTCCACTTCCCCAATAACAAGACAATATTTGCACGTTATACCTATCTTTATTCTTCCCAAAGCAGTGCATTTCAGATTAACCACGTTAATGTGCATTGCAGATGCAAATGTTGCAAAGGAGAGGGGCTTTCAGTTGTGTGGTCATATCTTGACTTTTTGGATTCTCCCCTGTGGATTTCCCTAAATGAAACTGTCACTGGATAAATTGGACTCCTTCACATAAGGAGTCCCATGTGGTTAAAGCCTTTACTCCTTGTTCAAGACGGCTGTCAGAGAAGGGTCTGGTTGAAATGAATGTCTAATGACCTAAGGAAATGGATCATCATGAAAGGGGTTCATGAGTGCAATATCAATTTGCTCACTGAAATGGATAATTATAATTCCATATTTTGGTTATTAAAGTTTAATCAGTGAAAAAAATATTCTCAAATATTAAAAAGATCAAAGCAATAAAATAACTGAAAACAGCAGTGTTAGCAAATCACTGTTGTTTCAGCCAGTATTTGTTGATTAGAAAACAAATTGATTCAGCCAGTATTTGTTGATTAGAGCAAACCAGTAGGAGCAAACATGGAAGAATGTATGCTAGTTGTGTAGAAGTATATTTCCTTTATCCTGATACTGTTTTCTTTCTGTCTTCCTTCCATCTAGTATCACTACTGTGAGTCACATGAAAGCGGATTTTTTTTTGCAAGAACCATAGGATTGTGTCCTAATCGTAGGGCTTAGTGGGTGTGGGGGAGAGTCCTTTGAATTTTAGATATTTATTTTGTTTGCTGCCATGGAATCAGAAAGGCCAGCATGACACTGTAACTCTATAGTCTTTCCAATGGCCATACTGATTAGGAATTCTGGGAGTGACAATTCCAATACGATTGGAGTTGCTGGTTTGGAAAGAGGTATTCTAAAATGCATAGTGGTGCTTTTTAAAGATATTTATAATACGAATGATCCTGATCAATATTGTTCTTCTTAACACAGTTCATCACATGTCTCTAGGCTGTACTTGGAAACAATAACCTCTCCAGTGATTATTCTAGCTACTGGTATTGATAGCGTATTACATTTGAACATGGAGGCTCCCTGTAATAGTGAATACTAATAGTAAATAGGGCTGGGCAGTACTTTCATAATGAAGGCAAACTTGTGCTGCAAGGGCACATGGGGGCACGCAAGTTGAACAGTTAAAGCAGCTGCATTGTTCCTTAGGATCATCCTGCAGTTGTGGCTGGCCGCTGTGTGATCCTGGGAAAAGATACAGTTGCTTTCAGGAGTTGGAGATGGGTGCTGCGTGAGGGCCCCTTTCTGCTCTGAAGCACCTTTTTGATTTTGCATCCCAAGCACTGCCCAGCTATAATCATACCTGAGTGTGGATCTTGATGAAGTCAGAATATATCAGCCGTAGTAGGCAGACCAGACCTGAACCAGAACTACACTTTATTAAGATAGGATAAAATAACAGAATCTTACAAGTCTGATTGTGCTATACCTCCTTTTCTTATACTTCAGGAATCAGGGAGGCATTTGTCTGACCCACTTCTGAATATTACCTTATTTCTCAGGGCTTAAACAATGCTTTAGCCCCCTGTTCTTGCATATTTCTGTCAAGGTCATATCCTTTACTCTTTACAGAATTGCATCATAGATGTACAGGAAGCTTGGGAACCTCCCAAAAGGTTATCGTTATACAAAGAAGCTTTAGAAAGGAACCCTTAGGTAGGGGGACTCCAAAAAGCAGTCCAGTGAGTATGTTCACTGGGTATTGAATACTGGAGGATTATGAGAGTGAGGAAACTAGGATTGTGAGGGTGAGGAAACAAGGAAACAAGAGTTAGGGAAAACAGAATGGACTATCCCAACTAGAATACTGAACAGGAAGGTTTTGCTTGTAAACCGTATTTCTGGACCCACTTAGTCTGTGAGTTCAGCTTGACAAAGGATTTCTGTTTTGGGTGGGGGTACAAAGATAGAATTTGGTCTTCTGGGAAAACCAAAAGAAAAAATTGACACTGTAGAAAACATTCTGTTTGTGGATGGAATAAGACTATATTTACATCCCACTGTATTCAGGTAGCTTCTCAAGACAGTGAACACCAACCCAGTTGCGGTGGTCACATCTAAGGAAACTTCCATTGAATTCTTCTCATATTTTCTGTTGTTCTCATTAGATATTAAGTATCCCCCCAAATGATTTAATGACAATACTGGGATTACTCTGGAAATATCTTATATTTTCTCATCATTTTATTACCCTTACCTGGTACAGTTCCACCCGGCCACCTAGCTTATAAATACATTTCAGCGTGATCATATTTGTTCTAATAAAAGCAGTTACCATTCATCTGTGTTCTTCTATGGGGTATCTGTGCAATAAACTCTTCTTGGGAAGAACTTCAAAGAGCACATTGGTCAGAGCCGTTTGCAAATGTTTTCAAAAAATGCAGCGACTTCACAATGTTTGGACTCAGCAGAGGGACATCAGCTGAGAAATTGTCAGCAAATCTGAAATGGAATTAGAATGCACAAGCCAGAGGGTGGTGTTCTTCACAAAGGCCTAGTGCTGAACCTGCTAAATCCATTTGTTTTAATAGAAATTGCCCTGGGCCCTTAAACTCAGTAGGTATGCAGTGTATTGTGAAGGAATGATCAAAGTTACAATGATTCATTGGCAGTGTTGTCTGACTTTTCAACTCCATTTGCTAAAAAGTGGAGGCCTCTGTTTGTGTGGAACATAGTGCTTGGGATAGTGTATGATCATTTATTATACGGAGAGGAAAAGATGTGTTTCCTTCCATATCTTTTCAATTAATTTTGTTAAATTCCAGCCAGCCTTCCCCTTCTTGCTGTTGCTTAGAGCAGTGTTTCTCAACCTTGGACACTTTCAGATGTGTGGACTTCAGCTCCCAAAATTCCCCAACCAGCCATGCTGGCTGGGGAATTCTGCAAGTTTGAAGTCTACACATCTTAAACTTGCCAAGGTTGAGAAACACTGGCTTAGAGTATTGGGTCTGTTGGTTGAGAATCCTGGAAATGCAGACTGTCATGCTACTGATTGTCCTTGTACACTGACTTGAACAACATGTGTAGAGATTTTCCTAATTGCCTTGAGGGAGGAAGAGAACAGAAAATAAATGGCAGTCATACTTTAAAATATTGCCTGAATGGTCAAGGCTATTACTATTACATCCTGGAAAAAATGAGAAATGTAACGTGTACACATACTCAGTTTTGTTCTTGGAAAAGCAGGCTGATTTAACAGGAAATTCAGTCTCCTCTACCCTGCTGACAATTCACCAAATCCTTCACCAAATAAGATGTTTTGCAAAGTCCTTTGGTATATGCTTCTTCCTTGATGGCATATTGTTGCCATTATTTCTGCCAGCATTTTCCATGGGTGCTATTTTCTAGATTTTGCTGCCTCTACAAAAGGTTTCAAGATTCAGATCAGAATAGTAGAATATCTAAAATCACAATAAAGGGAATAACTAAAACCATAAGTTTGGCCTAATTTTCTGAATCATAGGTATTGTTTTTAATGCTGTAGTGCTATGGAACAGGATTCCCAAGTTCCATGTGGAATTGGGCATGCTTTAGATTTGTGGGATCTACATTTTTTTAAAAAAAATCGGAGCTCCAAGATCTTCTTCCTAGTTCCAGTCATAAGTAGTAGATGATAGATGAACCAATTACTAGATGTGATATGGAAAAGTCCATTAAAAAGTCATATGCCATACATCTGAGTGGAATAGAATCTGAATAAAGAGCATCACCTTTACAGCTCTTGGTTGTTGTTTTTTAAAGTGACTCATCACAGCTGCAATACAGTACCACATATTGTATATATTTGAACACAGTATATAGTGACTATTGGAGTTGCAACATTGCACATGAAGATTTCATGGATATTTAATGGAATAGATTCAAGTCAAGCCTTATGTCATAGTGCTACAAATTATACTGGCCTTCAAATCTCATACCAAATGAACTGCAGCCTCTACTCTGACAGTTCTCAAGCCAACATAATCACCATATTTAGAATCACCAAACTGGGAAAAGCTATTCTATGATGTTAAACACCTAAGAAAAAAAAGTCAGACATGGAATGAGTAATACAGAAAGATTGGCATAGAATAATTATTCCTTTTTCTGCCTTTGTGAAAATGTGCCCAGATTAAAGTTGTAAACAGAATCCAAAAGTCATTTGTGTGTACAGTATTATTTTTCCTTGCCAATAGGCCCATTTTTTTCCTACTAGAAGCTTACACAGCTTGTGACTCATCAACCTGAATGTAGCTCACAGCTATACGTGGTGGTCCACAAAAGAGCCAGTGAACTTTCTGCTTTTTGCTTCCTGCCTGGGGCTCCAGAAACAGAACTGGTGTCAGGCACTTGGAGGGTCAAAATATTTAATTTGCGGTCTGTATTTAGCTAGGTATAAACTTGGAGGGGGGAGGGGGTTGATATTTTTCTTGCTATTAGAAGGCCAAAAGTTGGGGGAAAATGATATGGTAAAAGTGTGTTCTTAGTTTTAAGCCATTTGTCATTTGATCGGTGGTTCAAAACACAGTTGGTTTCATGAAATATGTGGAGCAATCTAATGGGTTTCCTTGGTATAGCTAGGCAGCTCTGAGACTCATGTCTCTCCCAGAGGAAGCTGAGTGTGAAATATGATTGAAACAGTTCCAGCATGTTTTTCCTTCTTTCTCATACACTCTTTTCTATTTTCTCTCTCTCTCTTTCTCTTTTTGACTCTCTGCCTTTGTTCTTGTTCCTTGTTTTATCCCTTCATCTTATTCCAGGTTATGCTCCTGTCACTGGCATGTGCCACCCTCTGCGTAGCTGCACTCTTAACCATGAAGATGGATTTTCTTCAGCCTTTGTAGTTGCTCATGAGACTGGACATGTGTAAGTTACTGAGGAAGGTTGTTCTTTAGTTGTCCAGTATCTTTGTTATGGTGGTTGCTTCTTGAAGGAGCTGTGGAAGAACCCTGGATGCCCTTTGCTTCAGCTGTTCTTAAAACTTTCCAGATTAATGAGAACTTTAATACCAAGACCTTGTTCAAAAACCCGTAACTTTTTATGTTAACTCCTGGCTGTCAAGCATCAAACTTTCCTTTTCATTTAAAGCTGTGGAAAAGCTATTAAACTTGCAGTCTCGGGTGTACCTAGAGAACATCAGCTATTTTGTCCTGCAATTTCTCCCATGGCTCTGAAAACAAGTAAAGGAAATTGTACACTGTGAGATCTTCACAGCCTTTAATACATTGACTGTGATGGGTTGATGACTCAGCTGTGGAACTTTGATTATGGACCTCACGCCTATGAGAACATTCTCAGAGGGTGAGCATGAATTTCCGACTCTCATTGGGTCAGAAACCTTTCAGCAGGAGTCATCCTCAGTTTGGTGTATTTGGTAACTCCACTATGTCTAGAGGACAACAGACTGGGGAGGAGCTTCTTCAAGTTAATGTAGGGTCTCAACTCCTCCTTAATATGTAGATGATACCAAGTCAGATCATTTGCTCTCCTGTTATTAATTTACCATGTCTTTGGAGAGGTAGGCCCATTTCATTTCCATTAATGAGAAAGGCAGATCTGGTTATATTAATAGCAAAGACCACATTATGCAGTTCAATCCATGTGGTAATAAACATGCTGGGGGTTAGGGTATTCAATGGTATTCAATGGTATTCAAAATGCTGGTATTGTTTCATTATTTAGTGTTTCATAGACCTTGGGAAATACCATTTAAAGGCTTTTTTAACAGGTTAGGTATGGAACATGATGGCCAAGGTAACCAATGTGCTGATGAGACTGGCATGGGTAGTATCATGGCACCACTGGTGCAAGCTGCATTTCACCGTTATCACTGGTCCCGATGTAGTAAACAGGAGTTGAACCGTTATATACAGTAAGTTTATTTAACACTCTTCATTTTTTTTCCTTTGAAATGGTTCTGCTTCATTTTGGATAGGGTGGAAATTAATGGGTGGAAAGAATACAGCTGAAATACAGAACAATTAGGATGACAGAATCTGATACAAAATGCCAAACAGCTTGGACATTGAGGGTGGAGAAAAATATCACTTATTCCAAAACTTGTTTTTGTGTCTGCTGACTAATCAGGAAGCAGTTTATAAACCAGCATCTTAACTTTTCTTAAAGTTGTGTTGTAGTTTTGCAACTCAAAATAATGTATACATAGTTAAGTACATCGGAGAAAAGTGCCCAAAGGAATATGGATGAAACATGTTGAAAATGCCTATGTATGGCATTTCTTGCAGATGAGAAAAAAATATATACAATTTAATGCAGAAATAGGGTGAAATGAATTTCTGGTCAGAAAAAAAACAAACAAACTTATCTTAGAGTACAAGGACTTTTGGAGCAGCTGAATGAATCTGCAAGGAACATTTAATCTCTAATACACAATCTTTTTTTTTTGTGCTGCAGTTCTTATGACTGCCTCTTAGATGATCCTTTTATGCAGGACTGGCCGAAACTGCCGGAGCTGCCAGGAGTTGATTACTCTATGGATGAGCAATGCCGCTTTGACTTTGGTGTGGGATACAAAACATGCACAGCTGTGAGTATGGAAACGTTGTTGGTTGGGAACCACTTCTTCTTCCTTCTGTTAATTCCTAGGGTGAAGAAAGTTTCCCTTCTGAATGAATCATATGTTGGCTTCAACCCACTGGTGGCTTTGCCTTAGATTTGTCCACCTCCCATGTCCTGCAGCTGCTGATGACCTATTCCATTCAGTTCCACAGAGCCCCTTCAACTTCAGGAGTAGCTTTTCAGGACAGTGTGATGGGAGGCTCACGGAGGCAGGCTGGATCAGCAAAAATCTGATTTATGGGAGTGAACCTATATTTGCTGTGGTAAAGCTGCATGTTAAAATAACGAATAATATTTTTGAGGGCTGCACTTAGAAAAGATGTGAGTGAGATGAAATGTATCTTGTAAGTTCATGCAGATAAGAAAGGCAAAATTTGCTGTGGTTTAATTATACATTCTATTGAAAACAGGTCTTCCTGTCTTATTATGTATAGAAAAGCTCTAAAAGAAGGTTCACACTGGATTGTATCTTTTTATGCATAGAAGAAGCTACAGGGTTTTTGTTTTGTTTTTTTGCTTTGGGTGTTTTATTGTGTTCTTAGCAATGTATGTGCACCACCGAAAATCTGTCTTGATTGGGGTCTTTATTTATATATTGTTCATTAGATTTGCATCCCACCTTTCATACAGTATGCACATAGAGTGTTTCTTCTTTCTATTTTTCCCCACAACAATAAAGCTGTGAGATAGGTTGGGCTGAGACAAAATGGCTGGCCCAGAGTCACCCAGTGAATTTCTGTGACTTGGACCTGGTTTTCTCTGGTGCCAGTCCAACAGCTTAATCATGATACCACATAAGCTTTCACACTTTTCCCACGTTGGAAAGCTGGTTAGATATGTACGAAAACCATTCTCATTATGGGAATCGACACAGGGTGAAACATCTTGCATATCTGTGTTAAAATAGATGAACTGATACGAAAGAAGAGATTCTTTGCCTTCAGGAGCTCAAGGTGGGTAGCCTTTTCTTTCCTGCATTTTATCCTTATACAAACTTTTGTACTAATTCAAATTGAGAGATGGTGGCCAACCCAAAGCATTTTGAGTTTCATAATTCTGTTTTAGTTATGTTTCTGTAGTTGTTATGCCAGAAAAGAAAGGTCTAAAATGTTAATTGTGATGTTGGTAGCTTCCGATGTCATGTTTAGTCAATCACGGAGATAGCTTTCCTCCAAGAACAAGGGACTGTGTTGCTTGTTTTTTGAAAATATTAAATATTAAATTCAAAATTAAATTGCATATGCTCTGCCACTAGCAACAAGTGGTGATCATTGGATTTTTAGTGTTGCTAATGACTGGAAGTATTCCATGCAGGAGTTTGATTCATTCATTTATGTAAAAAGTTTGATTAAAGTCAAAGGAAGGTGCCTAAAACTATTAATAATTCTAAAACTTGTAAGCAAGTATGCCGATTCATTATTTAACAGTTTTAATCTGTCTGGCTTGGATCACAATAGTTATGATACTGTGATAATTCATGATAGTTCAAAGGTTCCAAGATTACTTTTTATCAGTGAAAAACTGGTCTTAAGGAATGTTTCATATTAGGTATCTGCAGTTCTTGAAGAAAAGACTGATGAAATGAAAGGATGATAGATATTTAAAACAGATAATAAAAGCCTAAGACCGAATAAGATATTGTGCTTTTAACAGCCCAAGTTGTAGCATCTAGCCAACTTTAATCTCAGACTTTGATCTAAGCAGGATCATACTGGATTAGAATTTGGATAGGACATCACCAGGCCAGTCCCATAAGAATCTGCAGCAAAAAGAGGTTGCATCAAAATGACAATATATGTGCAGTGGCAACACAGTGCAAATTCCGCCTTACATACTTGCTTCCCAAAGTCTGAAGCAGGTCCCTAAATTGTGTGTGTGTGTTTTTAAAATTGTCATGATGATGATGTTATGATAACTTAGCTACTCTCCCACTCCACTCCTTGCAGAGGCTGGCTATATTGGGAAATTAAAAAAAAAAAATCCTTGAAGAAGGCCATGGCAGGGCATACATGGGAGTGTCTGAAGTCACCAGGGATTGAGGTCAGCTTGGAGGAGTCATTAGCTTTTGAGATGAAGAAATAGGCCTTTGCTTGGTATGATGCAACTGTGGTTGGAAAAGTCTCCTATGATGAACTCTGTATCTGGAACATATGTCAAATATGCTGGATCAGGAGTTGTGCAAATAGTGGACAACAGATAATCTTAGTAAACCCTTAATTTATGAGACCATTCTTTAGCGGATGCACAACACTTCTTTTTTAACAAACTATAGTTATAATGTATAGCTGCAACTGCAGTAAATTAAAGGACAAAATACTGGTTCAGAGCAAAGTGTACTTTCTGCTGGCTTAAATGGAGAGAGAGAGAGAGGGAGATACTCTTTATGTGGTCTTTCTCCTTTACAGTTCAGAACTTTTGACCCTTGCAAACAGCTGTGGTGCAGCCATCCAGACAACCCTTATTTCTGTAAAACAAAGAAAGGACCACCCTTGGATGGAACGGAGTGTGCATTGGGCCAGGTATGTCTGTGTTGAATGGGATGTTTGTCAGCCTCATTTTAGCAGGAAGCCAAACAGTTTTTCATCCATATATGGACAGACATGTGTCTTATGGGCCAATACAGAGAATGTTTATACATTTTTAATCCTTTACCTTGTATACATATTCTTTCCTTTCAGATTGACAATACAGGTAGTCCTCATTTAGTTATCGCAGTTGGGACTGGCAACTCTGTTGCTAAGCACCACAGTCACTAAGTGAAACCATGACTGTGTGTACGATTTTACTACAGTTTTCCATTGCTTCTTGCTACTTCCTTCAGCTGAACTGGGGTTCTTTCTCTTTCTCTTTAAGGACATCTTGATGTGGGGTAAATAAGCAAGTGAAAATAAGAACAGAGAGACGCTGAGAAGGTCATAAATGTGGGCATTGGTCGCAAAGTTACTTTTTCATCACCATCATAACTTCAAACGGTTGCTGTCCAAGGCAGTCACTAAATGAGGACTACCCATAGTGAGGAGAAAGTAATGGTTTCTGTTGTATTTGGTATTTTTGGTACTTTTTTTTCCAAATCAGTACTAAAGCATCAGATATGTATAGACTGCAGTTAAGTGTGGCAAGCAATACTTCCCCTGTATCCTGCCAGTTGGGGGTGGGGAGAGATTGTCAAACAGTGAAGATGCTGGGTGCAACTGCATAGCTGAAACTTTTTTACATGCAGCGACATGCACATAGGGCCTCATCCCCTGATGTGCTGAGATTTGTGTCCATATGCCACAGTGTGAAACCTAGCAAGAGGGCCAACTTCCTACTTCTTTTCTCCCATGGGAAATTCACTGTTAAAGTCCTTCAGTCCTGTTCTACTCATGTGACCATACAAATGGGGGCCATCGTCCCACTGTTTCTACCCCTCCCCTTCCGAAGCTAAGGCAAAAATTACAGTCATGATTGCAGCAGCCAAATCTAAATCAAGTGCTAATTGCTATCTTTCTTTAGCACAAATCTCACTGGAAGTTTATTAGCAAACTAAACTTAAGATGTGGTCTTTGATCTCTTAAATCCCATGTCAGGAAAGTAGGTCATTGGGGCTCCTCGGATGTTTTAGAATTCCTATAATCCACATGAGTTGAGGCTTCTAGAAGTTGTAGGGCAAAATACTAGATTGCTAATCTCTGCCTTAGAGATTGATTTCTTCCATGTGCCTAATATTTTAAATAATCATAAACATAATTTATGAAATGTATATGCCACTTGGCTCTGGGTGGCTTACAGTTGTTAAAATATTTAGAAACAAAGGACAATAGGAAAAGAACCCCACAAACACACACGAAAGCAGCACAAGACAGAAGAACAACAATGGCAAAGAAAATAAACCCAGAAGGGAACAGAAAGAATCCTCTCCAAAGGCCCAGGTGAAGAGCCAGGTCTTTAAGGTCCTTCAAAACACCAGCAGGGTGGGAGCCATTCGAATCTATATTCCCTGCATATTTTGGTTTTTTGTTGCCCATTTGGGATACTGCTTTTAATGTGAAGTTATATTATATTCTTGTATATTAGAACTGTTAGGGTTTGGACTGAAACACAAATATTATGTATGTATGTATTTAAACAGTTTATATAGCTGCCTCTCTCATAGCAGTGACTCTGAACAGTGCACAGAATGTTAAAACCAAAACTAAAACAAAGTAATACTACTACTACTACTATTACTACTACTACTAGTAATAATAATAATTTATTAAATTTATATGCTACCCAACTCCCAGTGACTCTGGGTGGTGTGCAGTTGTTAAAACATTAAAAAAAACAACAGAGAACAATACAGAAAACATAAAAACAGCAAAGGCAAAGGGACAATGATGGCAGAGGGGAACAGAAAGGAAGAAAGGGGTGTCAGCTGTCCTCTCCAAAGGCCTAGGTGAAGAGCCAGGTCTTTAAGGCCCTTTGAAATACCAGTAGGGAGGGAGCTGTTCGAATCTCTGGGGGAACCTCATTCCAGAGGGCAGGCACTGCTACTGAGAAGGTGCGCTTCCGGGGTCCTGTGATGGAATGGACTTATGAAGGCCACGCTCAGAGAGATAAACATGTTCTTAGCCCCAACAGGAGCGTGGGAAGTTGAAGAAGATGAGGCTGGCACCTCCCTAAGGAATTCACAGTGTTGTGGCTGGCTAGCTTTGGGAATTTGGTTTAGTCTTGGGAGATTTTTTTTTTAGGTGGAAGGTAATAAATGCAACAGAACTGTATTTGCATTGTCTCGTGGAATTCTTTGGGCTGAACCTGACAGGTCCAGACAGATGGCATTGTTTAATCGATGGAACCTGGAGTGCACCAACCCTGCCAGATTGAATCAGCTGGGCAGATACTATGGGCGACAGTGGTCCCTCAGGTAACCAGGCCCTATGCCACGTAGGGCTTTATAGGTAGCAACCAGCACTTGAATCACACCCAGAAGCAAACTGGCAACCAGTGCAGCTCACAAAGCAGAGATGTTACATGGGCATATCAAGGCATGTCCATCAGTGCTGGCACGCTACATTCTGGATCAGCTGAAGCTTCTGGGTGATCTTCAAGGGCAGCCCCATGTAGAACATGTTGCAGTAGTCAAATCATGAGGTGATCAGCGGTTGTCTGAAGGGCCCCCCAATCTAGATGCATAATCAGGTACATAATATCAGGTGCACAACCTTTAACTGGTTGAAGGTTGCACCAGCACTGAAGGGCACATTGTGGGGCCATTCTACGGTGACCACATCAAAAAGATGAAAAAGAGAGGGAAAGGAAACAAATAGTATCATTTAATTAAATAGTATTATTACTTTTAATGAATTGATTCATAATTGATTGCATCATATTTATTATTTTCACTTTTAACTAATTAAGTGGATTAGCTGTTAAATTTGTTTGCTTACAGCAATTCGTATACCTGTGTCTCAGTGCCCAGGTTTAAAATGAATTTAAGAGTATGTGAGCAACTCCACTCCCATTAAATGCAGAGAATATTGTGGGGGCGGGGGGGGGATGCTGGGGCTACAGCTAAAGCCATGTGAGCCACAGAGTTTACTCCTGTAGCCTAAAGAGTAACTTCCTTATCCTCTGTTACAGCCTTCCCCAAGCTGGGTACGTCTCACCAACGTGGATTTAAACTTCTGCCGTTCCTATCCTGGCATTCCGTGAAATTTGAGTGGCTCTAAAAAAAATAGGCTTTAATTTAATTGTTGAATGCCTGAGGTGGTTGGGTGGGGTATGCATAAATAAATAATGGTTGAAGTCTCCTGCTAAACCACTTTGCACATTTTCCTGGTAGCTGTTATTTTGCACTGCTGGGTAATTATCTTCCTGTTTGGCTACGCTGGCTTTTCCTTGATATTCCCTACAACACTAAAATGCTTAAGGTCACACTTCCTGATTAGAAGTGAAAAGATAATTGTTTTTTAATGTATGATTGTTTGCTGTTTGTACCTTGTGTTCACTACGTTCATGGCAGATGCACGTGTACATTTAGGCCTTCCCATTACATCTTTTCAGTTTTCCCACTGGAAAATATGGTGTGGAAAAAGTAAGGTAAGGATAGGAGTCAGCATATTTTCAGATTGTGCCAGGATTCCAGGTTGGTGCTCTAGAAGTGATAAGGTTTTTTCATGCATCTCCTGTGCCACCCAGGCCCCCTGAGACCTTTCTTTATTACTTCACAGTCATCCCTGTCCGTCTGACCAATGAGAGTGGGAGAAACAGATTCCGACCCCCATTGTAAAGCTGGGTGCTTCCGTGGCTGTAGAACTGCTCTCCTCACTAACACTGGACAGTTATGAAGAGGCAGGTGTTCAGGTAACCCGTATTTCTTCTCCTGTTCCAGTGGTGTTTCAAGGGTCACTGCATCTGGAAGACTTCAGAACAACCTTACAGCCAGGATGGCAGCTGGAGTTCCTGGTCCAAATTTGGTTCCTGCTCCAGGACTTGTGGGGGTGGGGTGCGTTCCCGCAGCAGGAACTGCAACAAGCCACCGTAAGTTTGGTTTTCTGTGGGATAAAGGTGTCCACAGCACCTATTGTATTTGGCAGAGCAGCTCTAGAGTTCCCCTAATTTGTGTGTGTGTGTTTCCGTGTGTGTGTGTGTGTGTGTGTGTGTGTGCGCACGTGCACCTTTGAGTCAGTGTTGACTCCTGGTGACTGCCTGGACAGGTCTCTCCAGTTTTCTAGGCAAGATTTTGGAAGTGGTTTGCCATTGCCTGTTTCCTAGGGCTGAGAGAGAATGACTGGCCCAAAGTCACCCAGCTGGCTTTGTGCCTAAGGTGGGACTAGAACTCATGGTCTTCAGGTTTCTAGCCTGGTGCCTTATCCACTACATCAAACTGACTCTCTCCCCTAATATAGCCAATAATGAGAGAATTTTATACCAAGAAATCATAGAGCAATGAATAAATGCAAGAATATGGAGAAAACTCTCTTTTCCTCTTATATCCTTTGAGTATATGACTGTCTGCAATGCCAATTCTAACAAAATTAGGACTGTAAATATTATGCATTTGTATGGGTGTACATAAACAGATAAGCTATGATACACAGCTAACATAAAACTAGAGCTACAAAGAGAGTGGCTGCTTAGCTAAGCCAGTTTTAATTATTAACAAAGTCCTTCCTCAAGGTCAATTATTTCATTCTGTCACGTCCCTCTTGGGTATCATCTTACAGTGGTTGTGCTCCTACCTTTAGGACAACGTTCAGAGAACAACAGATTATCAAACTTTGGCTCCCCAGCAGGGGGTGCTATTTTGTCCTCCATGATAGGTGTAATCGTCAGGAAATTTGGTGTAAATTTTCATCAGTATGCTGATTTCTGATTGTGATAACCAAGTCTATTTCTCCTCTTCAGTCAGAAGAGGCTGATTCAAATGACACAGGTTGAAAGTGGACAGGTGTCTGCATTGGTGGGTTGGATGAGGCTAAGGCTGGATCCTGTCAAAAGGGAAGCAATGGAATTGTGGATAGGCGGTTCCCTTATCCTGGAATTACAGAAGTGGCCTGCTTTGCATGGGCTTGCACTTTTCCTGAAGGAGCTGCTATATGATCTGACATTCTCCTAG